TTTGTGCTTTGAATACGCAATGCCAGGAAATCACAAGATCTGCCCGTGTGGCAGCAGGCCTAATTGAACATAAATAAAGAAGGCCTCTCTGTGAATGGGTCTCTATAATATGGATAATTTGCAATCTGATGCTTTTATTAGTGCTTGGCTGTCACAAGCTTGTAACGTTTACTGTCATGCGCTGTTTGTTTTCATGACTCTGCATTAGCATTGAGTTCAGAAGAACAGCAGCAGGGTGGATGTCCCAAAGCCTCCTAGAGACCCTAGTCTGAAGTCTACATGCAAGAAAGTATGAACTGTTCGACGCCACCAAAGGCAATGCATTAACATTGACGATTTCTTAAATCTGTTTAACATGGTTGAATTTAATGCATCTCGTTAATCTAATTTGACATTCCGGCTGTTTGATTCTGTTTTGTGTGATTAAATGCGCCAGTAACAGTTGCAGAAGTTTGCACAAACCCCTTCCCGTGGGGACTTTATAAAAGCCTTCGTTTAAGATGCCCATTCACACTAAAAAATATAACTATATTAGAGTCCACACCAAAGCACAATATAGTTCTTTTTATTATAAATGCACAATGCAGTTTTGTTGTCCACTTTAAATGCTTTTGAAAGCAAGATGTTTTCTGATTGGCTGTCAATGTTTTTATCATTCAAAAATAGTTCTGAAAGTAATTCCAATGATATTCCTCATTATCATTATAGTTGTGGTATAGTTATATACTATGGTCCAAGAACGATTATTAAAACTTTATAGTTATTGTCATTTGTGTGAACAGGCCTTTATAAGCCATGAGCCAAACCAACCAGCTATGAGGTGAATCACAACATTACAAACTCGATTTTGAAACTCGAACAAAAAGACAAAAGTACAAGATTGTGTACTTCACAGCTTTAAATTCCATGAAGCATTGCAAAATGAATTAAAAATGCTGGAGAAACTGTTGATTTAAAGATGTTTAGAGAGAGAGGAACAATATATTTATGTTTATTGCAAAATAAAAAAATAGTAGTTTGAGACTGACTTGTGTCATTTGTAGGGGTGTAACGATTCATCGATATGGATCGATACATCGATACGATGTCTGACATAGGGGTGTGCGATATATATCGTCTGCGATAATATCGTAATTGTTGTTTTAACGATGTGCGATTTGACATTATCGAGTATTTTGCAAAAACCATTCAAAACATCCCTACAGAGCGCACGCATACGCATTATGTGAAGTCTAGACTAGTGCGTGTGCGCATTTAGTGTGTTTTCTTTCACTGCATGATTCAGTCTATTAAAATGCATTTAGAATGATCACAAATTCAAGACATGATGGCAGAAAATTTATATATTTATACCACTTCATATAGTTATTCAATTTCACACGAAGAGTGCCGTTTTTCTCCAAAAATTACCATGATTACAAATGTGACATTGAATTCAATAAACAATAAGTTAATTAAGAGACTTACATTTTAGACACCATATTGCTTGTTTTTGCTCTATTTCGCCAACAAAAATCATTCCGAATAACAGTGCTGTTTTGTCTGTGAGCAACATGACGGTGTTTCGTTCCTGAATGAATCAACTGTTTAAATGATTCGGTTCAGTCGCAATGACTCACTTATTAACCGTGATCTGCTGCCTCCTGCTGGCGGTTTTAATTTCACATTTCGGCTTTTTCTTTCTTTTCTTTTCTTTGATTTTTTTCATGTTTTAAATCATTACAAATATCAGTATTCAACGTTTTATGTTTAATATATCAAAA